TGTGGTACAGAACATCTTCATAGTCAACATTTAGCTCAGACAGAAATTCCTGAAATTGTCTGTGGTTTAGTGCATGAGCTCTAATGAAGTTAACACAAGATACCACAATTTTCATAACAGAGTCCCACTTCAGTGATTTACTACTCAGCACTTGTTGGTGGATGAGGCAGTGTATGGCTATTGGATGAGAATGGTTATGTTTGTCCATCTCTTGGTTAATGCGAGCAATTACTCCTTTATTAGACCCCACCATGCTAGGAGCACCATCAGTTGTCACACTGGCTAGTTTAGCCCAGTTCAGCTCCAAACCATTCACAGTTTGGCAAACCTTTTCATAGATATCCTCTCCTGTAGTTGTTCCTTTGATGCTTTGCAGTGCAGCAAGCTCCTCTGTGACTACGAAATAGTCATTCGTCCCACGAATAAAAATTAGAAGTTGTGCAGAATCACGAACATCATTGCTTTCGTCGAGTGCCAAGGAAAAATAGGAAAGTTTTGCAAATGCTGATGCAAATTGTCTCCCATTTCTTCAATCCTCCGTGTAATTGTAGATCCTGAAAGACTCACTATACTAAATAAATCGGCCTTCTCTGGACACATCTCTTTGGCAACAGAAAGAAGGCATTCTTTAACAAATTCTCCCTCCACGAATGATCTGCCAGTGCACGCTATTAGCTTGGCATGTGCGGCCGCGTGTGCGTTGTGCTGCATGGGTGTGGGCTGTGCGTGAGAGTGGGTGAGGGTGAGCTGCGTGTGAGTGAGCTGTGTGTGTGTTTAAATTTAGTGTTTTAAATATGTCAATTCACCTGCTGTGTATCTTACTACTGTCCCTGCCGGCCATATCTAGTGCCACACTCAACTCTACAAACGGCTACCCGCGTTACTTCGCGTCAATACTTATTGCTAAATTTGCAACTACACCTGCTAATGAAACAACTTATAGACACTTCTACACTCCATCATTATATCCTTTTAAACCCTATCTTTGTCCCATTACTTCACCAGCACTCCTTCCAAACTTCATTCTGCTCTTAAAAATAACACCATCTGCGAGCTGCTGCTATTCGTCCAAGGTTCGTCGCTCTTCAGAAAATACCTGTGCAAACTATTAATTCTATTTTTCTTATTTCTGGGTGGTATTGAGCTTCATCCTGGACCAAATGTAAAGAACTCATATAATTCTGTAGATTTTTCTGGCAGAAAAGGTGTTGGTGTTCTACATGTCAACATCAGAGGGCTTTTGATTAAATTAAGTCAACTAAAACTAGAAGTAGCAAATCTTGACCCGGACATATTTTGCCTAACAGAAACATTTCTCACTCCTGCCGTCAATGACTTGCAGATTACGATTGACAACTACAACCTTTTTCGGCTTGACCGAGGATCTAAAGGAGGTGGAATTGCCATCTATGTTCGTAATACTATTGCATGTTCACCAGCTCACTCCTTGTTTAAAAAATGTTGCTTTGAAGGTCTGGCTCTCAGAATAACTCTCCCTAATAATCAACACATATTGGTAGTGTGCTGCTATAGACCACCTAGTGGGAAGGATGTTGAAGCTGCATCTGCACTGAGAGAGCTTCTTGGGGGCCTCCCTAAAGGTGAAATAGTTTTAGTGGGTGATCTAAATTGGAATTGGCTAAACCCGCCGGCCGTGGCCACAAATTTTGCAGATGAATTTAACCTGTTTCAATTAATAAATGTCCCCACAAGACCCAACCTAAAAAATCCGGGACAGTCATCTCTGCTTGACGTCCTATTGACAAATGCCCCTCACAATTTCGCACTGACTGGTGTTCTAGGTAATAACCTTAGTGATCACTCCTTCATTTTTGGGGTGAGATCATCAGCCAGACCCAAAGCCCCCCCTAAATTGGTTGAGAAGCACTCCATGAGACACTTCAGCACTCAGGCATTTACTAATGATGTGCTTCACTCGGATATTGACAAGGTCTGTGATATTCCAAACCTGACTACGGCTTGGGAGACCTTCAGGTACACGTTTCTCCAAATTCTTAACAAACATGCTCCGTTGGTTAAATTTAAAACTAAAGGCAACCGTCCACCATGGTTTGATCCTTTGATTACAAATCTCATGAAAACTAGGGACAATGCTTGGGCATGTGCTCAGAAAAGTAATTTGGTCAATGACTGGCTAGAATACAGGATTTTAAGGAATAGATGCGTCAAAAAAATACGGCATACAAAAAATAACTACTTCTCTTCCACTCTCCTTGAATCTCATGGAAATGCCAGGATTTTCTGGAAAACAATCAAATGTATCGAAAAGGCATCCAAAACAGATCATCTGCCCGTTCAGCTTAACCGAAATGGGGAATATTTTTCAGATCCCCAAAAAATAGTTGACAATTTTAACCTTCATTTTTCTGAAGCTGGTACCCTATTTGATAATGTATTGGGAGTCACCCCTGCTCATGCAAATTCCTACACCCCTATCCAAACATTAAGCGAATTTAGTTTTCAGCCAATCCACGAAAGTAATGTTCTGAAACAACTGTCCTATCTCAAAGGGTCCTCCTCTACCGGAGCAGATAGTATTCCCGTCTTTGCTCTACTAAGTGTTGGTCACCTAATATACAAACCTATAGCCCATATTTTCAACCTGTCCATCAAAGAAGCATCAGTTCCTCTAGAATGGAAACATTCCTATGTTCGTCCACTTCACAAAGGGGGCCCTAAAGATGATCCAAATAACTACCGACCTATCTCAATTTTGTCCCCGTTGATGAAAATTTTTGAAAAATTATTGACCTACCAAATTAGCAGTTTCCTGTCCGCCAACAATCTATTACATCTAAAACAATCTGGGTTCCGAAAAAAATACAGCACCACATCTGCTGCATTAGACTCTCTGAATCACATTTACAGTAGCCTTGATAATAAGCAGTACTGCGCCTGTCTTTTTCTTGACTTGTCCAAAGCTTTTGATACAGTAGACCACAACATCCTGCTTAGTAAAATAAGTTGCTTCGGTTTTTCCGAAAACACAGTAAAATGGTTAAAAAAATGACCTATTTTCTTGCACCCAAACTGTATTCACAGAGGGTTAGAGGTCAAACAGTGTTAAGATAACAAAAGGGGTTCCACAGGGTTCCATTCACAGCCCCATCTTGTTCTCTCTTTATGTAAATGACTTGGGCACTGAACTGGATTATTCCAGGGTAAATCTTTTTGCAGATGACACGGTACTAATTACTGCTGGCCGCTCTCCGGATGACGTGATTGCTAAGCTCCAGAGTGATTTCAACAAACTACAACATCAGCTAGTTGCTCTTAAACTAGTCCTAAATCCTGCCAAAACCAAGGTGCTATGCTTCTCACCAGGACTAAAGCAGGAAGTTATTTTCCCCCAATTACATTCCTTAAATAATGATCAAATAGAGCAAGTCAAGATCTATAAGTATCTTGGGGTCATCCTGGATTCAAAACTGAATTTTGAAGATTACATTGATTATATTGGGAAAAAGACAAAAGTTAAAATTGGTTTTCTATATCGACACAAGCACTGCTTCCCCCCTATGTTCTGTTTGGAATTGATTAAAGCTACCATACTGCCTCTACTTGATTACCGTGACATTGTGTATAAATCAGCCCCAAGTACTGTACTGAAGAAGCTTGACTCAATGTATCACTCGGCCTTAAGATTTGCATTGAACTGCCCATATAGGACTCACCACTGTGATCTCTACATTGGGTCAAACTTAACATCTCTGAATGTTCGACGGCTTGTGCACCAGATCTTATTTATTCATGATGTACTTGCAAAAAAATCTGCAGATTACCTGCTGGATCTCATCTCTGTTTCAAAGAACAAATTTGACCTAAGGTCTACACTCATTTACCAGCTTAATATTCCCTATTGCCGTACATATACTGGAGGAAGGGCCTTTGCTATTGATGCCCCCAGGGTCTGGAATGCTGTTGCCAATAAATTGAAACTTGAGTCACTACCTATGAGATCTTCACTCAAAACTGCTCTAGAGGAGTTGTACACCCCTAGCTGCCAGTGCTATTCAGTGATCTAAAATAAAATGTTTCGCTCCGGATGATCGCTACAAAGTATGACCTGTGTTTTGATTTAGTGTGCTGATCTTAAAGGTGCATTGAAAAATTACAATACTCCGATTGATGCTCCTGCTGTTGTGGAGTGACTCATGCAGCCAGCTATGGCTGCAGGGTTTTGGTAGTACATGTTGTTTATGCCATTTATTGTGAAAATTCCGTCACAGTTCCTATGATTGCTTTTTCATTGCTTTCATGGCTTTATTTTGGTGATTTCGAAAAGTGTATTGGTTTAGCCATGTTTGTTTGTTGTAGTACAGAGTTAGACTGATGGCCTTAATCTAAGCTGTCTTGTGGTTGTTGTTGTTGTTTGACTTGCATCCCACTGAGATTTTTGCACACAGCGTTGGTGTACGGTGTTTTTTCTGCAATATTTTTGCTGTCTTTTCTTGGATTTTCTGTTTGCACTTAGTCACATATTCACTTTAAGATGTTTTTTGTTCATGTTTTTGTTTTTTTGTTTGTTGCGGTTGCACCCGATTCAAGAGCTGAATGGCTCACAGGGCTATACCTAATAAATAAACTTGAACTTGAACTTGGCAACTTGAAAACTTGCTCGCAGTGATGAAATATTTAGCTGCTTCTGCTTCACAAAAATATTTTGCTGAGTTGTTAATGTATTTTTCAGTTTTAATATTTTATCTTTTCTCACTTCTCCGACCAAACAATCATATTTATCTTTATGTTGAGTTTCATAGTGTCGACGTAGTGCTCACAAGCGCAGCCCAATTAGTGACCATGGGCCGGATAAATGTCCTCGGCGGGCCGCATGTGGCCCGCGGGCCATAGTTTGAGGACCCCTGGTTTAATACATTTATCTATTCATGACCTCAATTAAATTCCAACTGAATATTTAGAATAACGTTTTTTTTACCGTTTTAATTGCATTATTTAATTTTTGTCTGTCTCGTTTCTAGGTGTTGCAACACCACAAGGCCATCTCGCAGTGTTTTCTATACATATGAGTGAAAATATTTGGTTTGTGGTTACCATGGCTGCTTATACCTCAATTTCGGTCTTGAGCTTTTTTCTCTTGGGTGACGAAATTCTGAAATTTAAGAAAGAAAAAATGGCCTACTTTAGCAATGCCATCCATTTTGTGGAAATTACCAGCTTTGTCCTAAGGATAACCTTGGTCACAATTTATTACAAATCATATGTGGCTCTCAAAGAGACTCTTCTCAAACACACTCAAGGTATGTACAGTGAAGATGTTATCTAAATACTGTATAACTTAACATTGAACGGTTGTCTTGGGCCTCAGGGTAGAATTGTATAGTTCATTTACAAGGTAAAACTACTTATTATTCAAAAGTACTTGAATAGATCATGGAACAACCTTTGCCAGTACCAAAATATGAGAATAGATTTTCCCCTTTTTTCTGGCAACAAAACAGGTATTAAGATGTTAAAACATTCAACTGAATCCTTTCACAAGGAATCATGTCCGCATTAACCACACTACTTGTGGTCAGAATGCAAACAAAAAACATAGTCTGATAATATATGCATTGTCTTCAAAACTGATTGGTCCACACCAGAGACAGCTTTCTTTTGAGCCTAGTCTCAACGGTCTAACACCGTTGCCAGAAAAAAGGGGAAAACCTATTCTCATACTTGAATAGAAGCAATAAAAAGGATTCTCATATAAAAATATCCGTGTTATTTAAATATACATTGACTGTTATATATTCAATTAACAAAAAAAAAATCGAAATCCAGCCCAATTGATATATTTAAACAAATTGCAAATTTTGGGGAAATCTAAATATATTTAGACTTCACGAGACTATTACTATTAGATAATCCCTCATTGTCGCATATACAATCACATTTATTATCTAAAAAGTGATTTTCAGCCCGAAGCCAATGAGTTAAATTCCACGCACTGTACTTAGGGGGCAAATCAACCTAGAGACCAAGTGCTGCTTGTTGACTTCCACAAAGTTATTCTTATTTTATCGACCATGAAGTATGGACTGAGGTAACCCCGGATTAGGAAGTTAATTATCATCCTTCTGGCCTTGAGTTGTTGCAAATGTCTGATTGTTGTAAATTTCTGACCCACCCCTACTGGACATCTATAAAAAAGAGCTTTATAGTTCATTGGATTTCTCCAGGATAACGATTTTTTTTTTGTGATCTCGAATCACAGCAACAGCTAGCAGCATACATATGGAGATCCACAAAACATGTTTGGGACAACTCCACGATTCACGTGAAGACTGTTGGTCCCTGCGTATAAGCCATATAACCTGGACACCAGGCACGTTCATGATTCCATCAAAACAGGTCCAGACTCGCCTGGGCCGGCACGAGGCCTAGCCGAGAGCATCGGGCCCAGCCGGGGTTCAAGTTCAAGTTCATTTATTAGGTATAGCCCTGTGAGCCATTCAGCTCTTGAATCGGGTGCAACCGCAACAAACAAAAAACCAAAACATGAACAAAAAAACATCTTAAAGTGAAGGGGGGGCAGGGCACTGGGCAAATGACTCGGTACCGTAACAACATGCTGTGTTATCGCTGTTAAGATGTTAAGCTCCTATTATTAGTACTAAAATAAACACTAAACGAAGGCAGAGGCAGCGAGAGATACAACCACGAAGGGAAGAGGCAGCAAGAGGCGGCTCCATTCCATGGAGCTGCAGGGGGCTCGCGGCCACGGTGAGCGGTGTTCCTGCAGGGCTGCACAGCCCTGCTCCGGCTGAATAAAAAATCTGGCAAGCAGGGGTTTTACCGTACAATTACATTTGTTTAAATATGAACGTTCATATGTGTGATCTCCCAGATGGCAATGTGACCTTCGGCAAGCTGGCCTCGCTGGACGAGTGTCTCCGGGCGGTGCTGGCACTGCTGGTATTCGTGGAGTCCCTGAAGGTTCTTCAGCTCCTCCACCGTGGAGCGAGGTGGTGCCTGGCGCTGCCTCTGCTGTGCTGTGAGACGCGAATCAAGAGCCGACTGCTGCTGTTGGTTGTGCTGTTGTGCGCCTACAGCCTCTCTCTGCATGGCCTGTATGGCGCCCGCTCCTGGGCCCACTCCTTCCAGTCCGTGACCTCTGCGCTCTTGCGCATGTCCCGTCTGGGAGAGGCGCTAGGTGGCGGAGGGGCATGCGCCACGCTCGCATACCTCTCCTTCAGGCTGCTGTCCTTTCTCTTGCTATTCTCACCAAAAAATAGAAATGTTTCCCCACTCTCAGAGTAATGGTGTCCACCTAGCAAACCTGTGCTGTATTTCCAGTACAGTACTTTACAAACATTGTGGAAATGAAGCACTTTCCTATAGATAGAAAATGCTATATTCCTCATTGATAAGATTTGTTTTTATCCTAACTCCAGCAGTGACCTTTTGTTTAAAATATTTTATCGAAGTTTACCTCTTTGAGTTGGTTTTTGTTATTCAATTAAACATTCTCATCAGTAAACACTTGCAATTAAGTCTTGGGAATGCCTTGTTTCAAGGCAATGAACCGCATTCCCATGAATTGTCATCTGTATATCATGTTAAACATTGTCATTTCTTTTTGATTATCAATCTTTACGTGTTGATGTAGTCATGTAATGTTGACTAATGTAATTTCTCAATTATCCCCCACCGTCTTAACCGACACACGTTAGTTCTTGTTGTTGGTGTTTTCTACATTTAAGTTGAAAACCAATGAGTTGAAAACCGATGCTACAAGGCTCTCTGTGCATGTTACATTTGGCATGGTCATTTGGGTAATTGTCAGTGTTTGTAATATTATACATGTGGCGCACTGAAAAACACGATATGGCATTAAATTGCCAGGTTATTTAGATCCTGCCTTAGAGCACACATCACTATTTAGAGACTTGTCTATCTTTATGTTTGAAGGCATGTTTGATTGATAGGAAAAGTGTTGTCATTGCGATTCAGTGCACTAGTTATATCTACTCCTGAACATAAGACAAACTAATTTTATGATACTTATTCTGCTCGCTGGAAATTATAGAATTACAGTTTCATTGCACGTTTCTTTTATGCATGTATTTCAAACTTATTTTGCACTCTATGTAGCCAACCGTGCATCTTTAATAAAATATACGATTACGTGCCCTTACACATATATATTATTTCCTTGCCGTCCTACTGTTTGTCGTTTCTTGACATGCCCCATCACAGTCTCCCTTGAAAGTCAGGGTTAGATGGGTTACATTTGTAGCGGGTTCGATTTAGACGCACACCTTCTCTCGAGGCAACACGTTTATTTAACACTAACAGCGCACCGTAACAGAATGACCTGGGGTGGTGGCCGCCCCGGCTATCTACACGCTTTTGTCGAAGACTACGATCAGACCAGACAGCCACGTGCTGCCTGGCCGATGTACTTGAAGACTGGAGACGAAGACCCAGGCTTGGAGATCACTAGCGATTCCCAGCCACGAACAACCATGATCCCTCTCCGGGCCCCGCCTTATATCCGCTCCCGCGTGGCCCGGCTCCCCCCTTGGCCCCCCCCCCCCCCCCCGCCGAGTGCGAGGAGGGGGCTCCGCACATGCAGTACCACCCTTACCTGTTACTGACTTTATAGCGACATCTTTTATGACGCTACACATTTGTAGCCGGTCTGCCCTGTCCCTCTCCTTCCGCAAATCTTAACGAGGGGGACAGGTCAGCTAAACATAAAAAAATAATAACGTTCGGAGACAATGAGTAGGTACTCCGCGTTGTGTTCTGTCCTCCGAAGATGTGTGCAACTCCACAACAGCTGAGCACCAGAGGTATGTGGAACCGCAAAACTTTATTTCAAAGTGTTCTTCATAAGGGCATTTGCATATCTACAAAATGGCTGCACTGTGAGAGACCAGCATGTCAACGGTGGCCGTGCCAGTGAGACATTCAGCCTATTAAACAAACGAGAGCCGCCGCTACATCGAGGAAAAGGGAGCAGCGGTAGTTAAGTTAGGATGGAAACATCACAGCAAGGTATGACTTTACCTGGTTAAACACGTTCCTTCGGAGTGGGTAGGTAGGAACTTGGTTGGACAGCGCATTCGTGCAAGACAGACAGACAAATAATCCCTGGTGGGCAGTGTGGAAGCTGTTGTTCCTACCTGTATAAGTGTAGTGTATCGTGTCGTGTATAGTGTAGTGTGTAGGTTAAACATTGAGTTTTATAAGGGCACCACGGGGTGACCAGCCCTACCCCACCCAGCCCCACCCCACCCTCCCCACCCAGCCCCTACCCACCCAGCCCCTCCCCACCCTCCCCACCCTCCCCACCCAGCCCCTCCCCACCCACCCCACCCTCTTCCTCTTTACCCAGCCCCACCCCTCCCTCTCTACCCAGCCCCACCCCTCCCACCCCCAACTGAATCACCTTAAGGCTGGGAATGTTGAAAGAAACACGAGGCAAAAAGATCCGCTTTTATCTTTTCAAGGCTTCCATTTTATGAATGGAGCCACCCTCCCCCAGTTCCATTTTGTGAATGAAACATCGCCCGTCTCATTGGCCCAAGTCGCGGCGGTGCCCCCCCCCCCCCACCACGAACCCTCCCCTCTACCAACCCCAACCCACCGCTCCCATTGGTCGGCACCCCCGAGTCAATGGGAGGGCTCTGGTGGGGCGGGGCCATGCACGACAGACAGACAGACAAATAATCCCTGGTGGGCAGTGTGGAACTGTTGTTCCTACCTGTATGACGTCCTTCCAATGATTGCTCAGTTTGTACCCATCTTGAAGTTATGTCTGTGTTTATAAATCTGGATGGCTTCATAACAAATATTTGATGGTAGCCCGAAGGTTTGCAGAGTACCTTGGTCTCGGAAAAGACAATATCGTGTGAGCCCACCACGTTCAAACAGTGATCAGCCACGGCAGAGGTATTGGTTCTGTCGTGTTCCAAATCTGCCTGGTGTTCGCGAACATGGTCTGAGACATGTCGTTTCGTTTCCCCAATGTAATTGCTACCGCAGAAACAACTTAGTTTGTAGACACCAGGGTATTGTATGTCAGGAATCACATCTTTCACAGATGAGATCAAATCACAGATGTTGTGTACTGTGTTGAATCGAACCTGGATCTTGTGTTTGTTCAAGATTTTGGAAATATTTTTGGTAACCCCTGCTATGTATGGAAAGGTAGGTTTTGATTGGGTCCTCGGATGGTTTTCTCCCCATGGTTGGGGATACAGCTTTACGGATTGTGCGGTCCGAATATCATTTCATCTTGAGGGCTTGGCGTACGTGCACCAGTTCACTGGATAGGTGGTGCTGGTCAGAGATGCAACGGGCCCTATGGTGTAGTGTTTTGATGAGGGAATTCTTTTGGGCTGGATGGTGGTGGGAATCAGGCTTTAGATAGGAATCTGTGTGGGTGGCTTTCCTGTAGACAGAGTGTCCCAACGAGCCATCAGGTTTCTTCTCGGTCAAAACATCCAGGAAAGGTCGCTTGCCATTATTTTCCACTTCCATGGTGAATTTGATAGATGGGTGTATGATATTGATGTGGTTGAAAATTGGTTCAGTGCTAGCAGGCCATGTGGCCAGATGACGAACGTGTCATCTATATATCTATTCCACAAGTAAGGACGTAGGTTGGATGTCTGGATGGCATCCGTCTCAAATTTCTCCATGAAAACATTTGCTACCACTGGCGGTAAGGGAGAACCCATTGGGGTACCCTCATTTTGTTTATAGAATGTACCATTCCAGGTGAAGTAAGTGTTGGTAAGGCAATGCCTCACCAAAGTTGGTACATCAGCATTCAGTCCCTGTTGGACCAAGTCTTTAATGATTGCAATGGTGTCAGGTACAGGTACCTTGGTGAACAGCGAGACTACATCGAAACTGACAAGCAAATCATCTGGAGACAGTGATATGTCCTTGATTAGAGAAACCAAGTGAGCTAATGCGCAAGGCAAGAACATCATCAGCCATTATATCTGTGCTTTGAGAACTTCAATAAAGCATTTGACTCAGTCTAGCATGATAAGCTCCGGCGGACCACGATGGACATGGGTTTCCCACTACATCTGGTTGACTTACTGGCAAAACTTTATCAGAAACAACTTGCTAGAGTCATAGTGGCTGGGACACTATCAGAATGGTTCCGTGTCAGAAATGGAGTCAGACAGGGTTGTGTCCTTTCTCTATACTTATTTAGCATCCTGGTTGAAACGGTAATAAAAGAGACACTTGATGTTTTTTTCGGAGGAATCCACATTGGAACGCGACGAGTCACAAACATTCGGTATGCCGATGACATCATTTTGCTTGCTGGTTCCGAGGTGGAGCAGCAGGAGTTGACAGATAGCTTAGATCGGGTTAGTTGTCAGTTTAACCTCATCATCAATGTGGACAAGACCAAAGTTATGGGCAGTGATGAAGCAGCTTGCAAAATCTGGATACAAGGCATCCAGCTGGAGCAAGTAGACACCTTTCCATATCTTGGATCAGTTATCACTGAAGATGCGAAGTGTTCAAAATAAATTGGAACTAAACTGAGTAAGGGTCAGGCGATTGGGTCATCCATGAAGACAATTTGGAAGAGTCACAGCATCCCCATTGGAATGAAGATCAGACTTCTGCATGCCCTTGTGTGGCCAGTTGCTACGTATGGTTGTAAAAGTTGGACAATCAAGAAAAACGATGAAGCTCGAAGAAACGCCTTTGGACTGAAAAGAAAAGAAATCAATGAGTTCTGGAGAAAGCTGGTGTTGAAAGAAAACTTTTAGAGGTGATAAAATCATGTCATGGGAATAAATGGAACTCGTTTGAAAAATCTGATTATGCAAGACACAATACCTGGTTCACGTGCGTGAGGAAGACCAAGGATGACATGGATGAATAACATCAAAGCATGGACGAGGCTCAGGCTGGAACAGACAATGAGGATAGCAGAAGACAGAAGTCAGTGGCCAAGGATTGCCCATGGTGCGGCCAACCCTTGGATCAAGGATGGCTGAAGACAAGATAAACCATATTAATAATGAGGGAGACAGAGTTACCACTTGGTTCATAAAAACAAACAGGAGTCGATTCAGGGAAGTGCTTAACCGGATCAGAAAATAACCAATCATGTTATCTGTGACTGGGAACATAACTTGGACTGCTGGGTTTATAAGGTAGTGTGCAAAGTCGCGAACCAACATGGTCAATCCACTGCTGGATGAAGGCATCCCCAAGCTGCTGCCACTTCTCACGAGCTTGTGATGTGACAATCCACCCCGCACCTGCATATGGACGGATCTCATTATAGTAGACTAGCTGTACTACCCGGCTTCGCCCGGGACTTGTATCCACCACGGCCGGCCGCCTTTGTCTCCCCAGTGGCGATGTTAATACGCCACACCAGTTACTCGTTTGAGGCTGAGTCGACCTAGGGGAGGTTCAAATAATCGTCACCGGTGGTGGCCGTGAGCGGGAATGGAACTCGGTTCGCCGGGTTTGTAGCGCAGCGTAGCGTTAACCACTACACCCACCGCTCCTCACACACCACACACGCACAGACACACACACAGACACACACACAGACACACACACAGACACACACACACAGACACACACACACACACAGACACAGACAGCACGCTAAGCACTACACTACCGTTCCCCCTACACAACACACGCGCGCGCGTCCATAGGTACACATACACGCGCTTGCTGCAGACACACACGACTGTCAGGATGCGTACGGCAGTAAACGACTGAAAAAAGAAAGCGGCAATGCTGCGCGAGGAACGCCTTAGACCTGCAACACATTTGTGTAATGCGAGCGTAAACACACAAACACATACAAACACATACACACACATACATACACACACATACACACAAACACATACACACACATACACACACATACATACACACAGACATACACATACACACAAACACACACATACACAATACACACAGACATACATGCAGACACACAGAGACACACATAACACACATACATACACAGAAACACATACACACATACATACACACACATACATACACACAAACACATACACACACGTACAAACACACATACATACAGACACACAGACATAGACATAAACACATACAA